TCTTCATTCATAAATCTATAAATCACATATACAAATAATAGACCAAAATCACTCTAAGTAACAAGCAAGTTTTTTATGAGTCTCTTAGACCGACACATTTCCGACGAAGTCTCATTGTGTACTTTTAGTCTATTGTTCACAAACTATGTGCATTGTTAACATGCACGTAGTTTGTAACATAAAATCTTCATTTTGAATAAGCTCTACCTCCGGTTGTGAAGTTCTGGAAAAATAACCAATTCGTTTGTCTTCACTGCACAGTTTTTGTGCTACAATTCTACTATGTCCCCCCTTTCCTTCCACTCATTTTTCTAATTTATATACCTTTTCCATGAATCAGTAGAGTATACGGTTTGTATAAAAATGTCAAGTTGTCGATCTTTCTTTAGATTACTTTAATTTCTCACCATAATCATATGAACTTTTAATTTTAATTCAAACAAGCATTTTTCCCAAACACCAAAACTGCAACACTCTTCTCAATGCACTTTTCACCAACCAAGTTGGCATCTTCACTAGAATAAAAGAAAGTAAGTGTTCTTCATTTCGTGTGTCGGGAAGAGTATTGCAGTTCTGGTGTTTGGGAAAAGTGCTTGTTTTGGATATATTCCACGCCAGAGGTTTCAGTTTTACATTTTATTATATTTTGATTAGTTGCCATGTTTGAAATTCTAAGTCGGGTCTTACAAGAAAATCTAATGAAGCAGTTGATTTATGCCCTAAAACTGATTCAGTAGGTTTCTTGAGGGTAACAGGACAAATAAAACTGAGAAATTTTCATTTTTTTCAGAACTAGTAAAGAAGATTCAATGATTTCATGATCTTATTTCAAAATACTTTCAGTAGTCTTATATTATTGTAATCGTTTTATTTCGTCACTATTCTGGTTTGTGTTGAACAATGAACTAAATTGATCGACATTAAATTGACCCAGAAGACGCACAAAAACTATGTGGGTGGCAGGCTAATGTAGGTGTTCTATTTCGTTTGTTTAGGTTTGATGATATTGCATGGCATTATGAAATGTTTGATATATCAATCTACTCACAGGAAGATTATAAGATAAAATGTGACATTTTTTTTAGAGTTTGCTTTCAGGATATTCTGGTTTATCAAGTTTTCCTGATTCAGCTCTGATGTGTTTTTTACGAATCCCTTCCAATTTGACAAGATAAACCGTTCGTTCCTATGAAATAATACCAGTTTTTCACAAAAAATGTTTCCTTTTTAGAAAATCAGCTACTCCCTAATAAAGTGACTTACTGATTTTCTCGTTCTCTGGAAATAACTCCAAAAGGGTCTTCATAGCTCCAACTATATAAGTATCTACAATTGCAATGAGGTATTTTAGTTTTTTATATTCAGGTTGAATCTTGAAAAAGTTCCTGTTCTAGTCGTTCCAAGTTGTAGGTCAACAAATTCATTCGACTGATTACAGTGATCTTTTGATCAAGTTTGTGTGTATTTTAACTTTATATATTTTTATAACCGTAATATAGGAATTATAAAATTGTGACTCTACCTTGTGACTCTGGAAATACATATACGTTCCGTTTATTGCTTGGCAAACAATTGTTGATCGGGGTTTAGTGAAATCTGGGAACTTTGTTTTCCCACATGAACGTAGAGTTCGCAGTGTAGAACACCATCAACGTTTACTAAACATGATAAAGGTCCGAATTGTTGAACAAGTTGTCATGTAAACGCTTTTTTTCAGAGTTTTATTCATCCAGACTTCTGCCTTTGTACAGTGTAGTTATGATCATGTTTTTGTCTGATTCGTTCTAGTTCCATATTGGAAATTACACTCGATCTAATTTGGCGATATACCTCAAGATTGTAATGGCATATTTTTTATTTTGTGTGGTTCATTGGTAAGAATAGTATTTCTTGATTTCTTGAACGGTGTCTGAATTGATTCCCGGTCAGAAGATATTTTCTTGGGCATCAAGTCCTTTCAATTGACAATGTCTTGCACCAGGTGGTAGGGGTAACTTTATCTACAAACACCCATCCTACACAAAAAGTGGAAAATCACTATATTTTTTTACCTGCGTAGGTAAATCAGACCGAGTTTCAAATGCACCATTACTCGCTATGAATTTTACTAGAATATTTATTGGTTTTTTTCTATAGGTAACCGAGTCAGCTGATTTTGTTTGCCTTTTTTCTCAAACTACAGCATGTGCAGAGGGTGACTATTTCGAGTTATTCCAAATTTATTGTGGAAGAACAGATACTTCAGTATTTTAGAGCAATCAATGGTGTTGTTCATGATTTTCTGAAGAAAATATAATATAGCGAGTTTTTAATTATTCTCAAAAATCTGAAGGTTAATTATTGTAATCCTGCCATGTGAATCAATTCCATGAAAAGACAAGTTAATTATCCAAAAGAACGGAGTTGGTAAAGCGTCCCTATACTTTTATTTAATCTTTTCTTATAACCATATCAATGTTGTATTCAAGAATACTATAAATCAATGATAAATACAGTGTTTTGTTATTGAGATCAGACATATGTTGAGTTAGTATTTCAATTAATCCTAGTATTCCCAGGGCTTTGTTACAGATAATATTTATGTTAGCTTGTAAATTGTCACTATCAAATAAAAAAAAACACAATTGAGTTACACGATATGAAGAATCACATTACTTTGCATTTATTGAAATTTACGCACAAGATTAGTCTTGCAGTACCTGAAGAAATTATTCAGGTCAGTCAGTCTGAATCATTCATTAGTCATTCAAAGAAGTTACAAAAAAATGGATCAGCAATAAGTGAGCATAGTAACAGTAAAATTGCGCCAATATGTAATCCTTGAGTTATCTTAATTATGTTGGATACACTTTTAATTTTCCGATTTACTCTGCCGTTACTTGATGAAGATCCATAGTAATTTCACAAGCCACACCCAACGATTTGATCTTCAACAACTTCATTTTCAGAAATATAACATGTTTAGCTATCACAGTAACTGTTTCGTAGTGAATAACATAGAGTAGAGATCCACGAATAAAAATAATAATAATAATTTTTTGGTCTCAACTTCGATGACAGACGAAGTAGTATTTGCTCATAACACTTTAAAATCCCCTAACTCGAATCTACAATAAAGCTTGCCTAAATTACGTAGAACCCTGTGGACAGTTTTGTAAGTCTCCTCGGCTAAAATAAATTTTCTCTTAGGTATCCTATCTGTTAGCTCCCCCACTAAAAAGTCATCTGATGTGATTCTCACAGTTCTATTCTATTTTTTGAAGTACTTGTTCGCTAGAGTTGGCCTAGAGATACCGCACGCAAGTGTCGATTGCAGCATTGACACACTTATACAACTTCTAATTCCCTTTTCCAAGCCAGATCTAGGATGTGCTGTGTCCGATGTTTCGGAAATTCTCGAAAATATCCGGAATATCATATACAAATCTAAGTATTCGCCCAAAGTTTCAATTTCGAATAAATGCCACGCCTTTGGTGCATGATCGTACTATTCCTGTGAGATGTTGCAATGATTTATTTCGTTGTGAAATACTTCAGAAGATGGTAACTGTGTATATACAGCATTATCTATCGAGACGATACAATCATATCCATCGTATCCAATCAATCAATTCCATACTTCGATGGCTATCGGAAAATTAAATGATATCATCGTACGAACATTTTAGATAGAAACCTGCTCTGAACGCGATTTGGTCAAAGTATCATACTCTCAAAATCAGCATATATTATGAAAGGGGCCTTCTCCTAGTAAACGAAATCGCCAAATTGAGTTTCTTTTCGCTATAAAAATAATTCAGGCATCGATCGCAAAGTTATATTTCAAATCTATGTTAACCCAGTTGTGTGCTGACATAACGAAAAACGTTTTTGATCCAACAATAGTAATCTTGAATGTCTGGGTCATCGACGTCGTCTACAGTCAATGGTAGAAGATATTTTCTTGAGCATCAAGTCCTTTCAGTTGACATACTCTTGCACCAGGTGGTAGGGGTAACTTGATTGACAAACACCCATTCTACAAAAAAAATGAAATATCACTAGGAATTTATGGTTACCTATATAGATAAATCCAACCGAGTTTCAAATGCATCAATACTCATTATAAATTTTACTAGTATATTTATTGGATTTTCTCCATAGGTGAAAACATTTTCCTTCAGATCTTTTTACACAAAGTGCATAATTATTTGTTTTCTGGCCAGCTTGTTGAAACTTTGTTAGCTGTCTAGTTTAGATAGAAGCTAGTTCTGAAAATTAAGCAGTAGTTTCCACTTCACCCAATGTAGTTTTATTACTTGAATGTTTTCATATTATTTTCAACCCGACACTCATGTTTGTTAACGCCGAAAATTAATTGATCGTGATAAATTAGGTCCATGATTGCTGAGCACGAAGTCAGAGTATTCCAACATATTCGGTAACACTTTCATTTTCCTTCGAGCACAGCTCATTCTTTCGGCAAAAATATGTATTTTCTTGCCAATGAGTTCTGCATCAGTCTTTGTGACTTTAAATGATCCACTAAAATTAAAAAAAAAATGGAAATCATGTTGATAGTGGTTCAGATCAAAGTTGTTGAATCTGAAGTTGTTGTGCGTTTAGTGTCTCCCATTATAATTGCTTTACTTTCCACACGGGATTTTTGAAAAATTCCTCGCCAAAAATGTATGATAAAACGCAGTTGGTTTTGCAAATCTAATATAGATATAGGTGGACATTCAAAAGTAACAGAAATTATGAAATGTATGTTTTCAAAATAACAAGATAATGGTATCACCCCAATGCTCGTATGATGTGACAGTTCTCGTGACTTCTGCCGTTGATAATCAAAATGAATAATAGAAACGTTATGGTCCGGTTTCATTACAATAACCACATGAGGTAATTTTGTGATCATGAATTTGGCCAAAATATGACCGAGATGAACCCATAATATAAGCCAGTGATGGCATAATGTATGTTAAAAAATTCCTGTATAACAATTGATTCTCTTACAGATATATTGTATATCCGGATGGAACTTGCAAAAAAATTACTTCCCCGATTGAATTTCCTCTAGAAGGTCTCAGCTTCGGTAGTTGCAAATACAACTGTTACAGCATAGTTCATCATTCTGGTTCTGCGAACTGTGGTCACTACTTTGCCACAGTATTACTAGATGGTAAATGGGTTTCCTTCAGTGACGAAAAGATGAAGACATTCAGATTTGCTTTCAATGAGTCTGTTGCAGTCCAAAGAACTGCTGTTGGATTTTTTTATGTACACCAGGGTAAAAATTGATGTGATAAATTTAAAATGTGATAATATGAAGTATTACTGATATTTTCCAGATATTCCAAATATTTTTGATACACCGTGTTCATAAAAAAAAATGTTTTATTGTTCTACAAAGTGCCTTATGTTTATGTAGTATGTTCAGTTTATGTTCTGTGTTTATTTATTGATATAGGTTAGTATTTGACAAAAAATTGCCTCAAGTTACAATGAGGTATCTTAGTTTTTTACGTTCAGGTTGAATCCTGAAAAAGTTCCTGTTCTAGTCGTTCAAGTTGTAGGTCAACAAATTTATTCGACTGATTATCCAAACTTAAGTTTTTATTTTAAGTTATTTTGAGTATTTTGAAGTTATTTTAAGTATTTCAAACTTATTTGTTTGCAAATTGCAATATTTGAGTTGTTCTAAAAATTGATGTTACCGTTTTTTAATAAATTTTTTTATAAAATCTTTGTATATCATTTTTGTATATTACCTCGCAGACTGTCTGTCATTGGGATGACAGAAAAATATCTGACAAAAAACATGTTTCAACGCTAAACATGTTGAAATCTCGACAATCATAAACACCTAAAAAAGTATTCTGTTTTTGTGTTTGTACATGTGTTTAGATTATTTAAGTAGGAACTATGCCACAAAAATATCAGTTGGAATGAATCCATTCATTTACAAATGACACCTAAATTTTCTAGTGGACAGGAAGTTTTATAGGGGTGTAACAATTACCTACAAATAATTTCAGGACTATCAAAGCATGGATTTGAACCTACTGAATAATGATGAAACAAAGTACCTTTCAACCACAGCTGATGGGAACAATTTAAGAAATGAAAATAAGGATTCTATGTAGAAATATTATGAATGTTTTTTTCTAGATTTTGATTGCAATTTTGTTGAAATAGGTATACACTAATATTGTAGACAGTTTATTATGGTCTTCATTCAATTTGAGATGTTAAACTGAGAGCCTTGCCAAGTTAATAGAAAATGTGTACATTTGAAGAGGTTTGTGAAAGTGAAATTGAAAACGTTTATGTTTTATCTCTAATATGGCACTTACAAACGTGTGTGAATCTGAGAGCTCCTTAAATAATGAGAACTTTTTGTTCATTTGTTGCAAAAATAAGCCAAACAACGTGTATTTTGTGTGTGTGAAGTGCATAAGAATGTTCCTCAAAAGCTGTATCAGTAGAATAAAGCAAGGGAGATATATAAATGTACACAAAGTGAATTGCAAGGATTGTGATAACAACAGTGACCCTGAAGTAGAAAAGGTGGAACGACTCCTGGATGTCAATAAAGATCTCAATCAGGGGTGCCAGCAAAGGTCTGAATTTGTAAATAACCTGAACCACAAATACAAATTATTTTATGAAGAATCTATAAAAATGAAAAGGACGGCACTATCCTTGAACTCAAAAACAGATAAAAATATTAAAGGTTGAAAAAAAGTTCCAATGATAAGCAAACGGATGAGGCCAGCACCCAAACATATGAACCCTCCTTTTTTTACTCAAACAAAAAACTATAAATCATGTCAACATAAAAACTGAATCATTTGACTTTGAAGCTGACAAACAGGGTGACTTAGCTCAACTTGTGATATGCTCGACAGCAATGAAAAATGACCCAATAAAAAAAGATAACGACTTATCACTATTAAGAAAGGAAATAGAAGCAATGAAAATTGACAATGAATTATTGATACATATATTAATTCCAACTTTGAAAAAGAAATGTCAAATTTGATCGATCGAAACCAGGAGCTATATGATTTACTGCAAAGTAAAGAAAATTCATACTGTCAACTTGAAAGGAAACAGCAGGCCAGCCACCAAAGTTTCTATTGACAAAGAAATAAAAAAGGATGCAGAGCCCAACCAAATAAAAACAGTTGCAAAGATGGATGTTTTCATATGAAGGAGGTTCCTCATAACAGCAGCAGTTCCTCACACATACCTGGATATCAAGAGAACATTTCTACAGAAGACACAGAGACCAAAGAAGCAGCTGAAGAAAAAGTTCTTGGGACAACATCAGATGAACAACTCGATAATTCTATTCAAATCCCATGTATACCTGATGAGATAGTAGCACCAGAGTCAAAAAATATTGTCAATAAATCAGTCATAAAAAACAAAGTTCTAATAATTGGAGATCAATTAGCTTCAGGGATAACTGCAGCTTTTGTCAAAGAAATTCCTGATACATGGTTTGTCGTGGATGGCCAAACTTATCCAAACATCATCTTCTTCGACTTGTGTAACAGGGTATTCAAAGGATCTCTTTCATATGGTATTGATGACTATATTAATTGTTTGTTTAGTAGCTGCAATGTCAACAACCATGTACATTTGAAAAAAGCATTGAGAATTCTTTTACATTTAAGTAAAATGAGCAATCTAATAATAATTGCATAAAAAGTAGCCCTAGAAGACAATAGACTGGGTAAAGTATATAAACTCGTACACGTCAAAAAATTGGAACTCTTCTATAACATTCAAATATGTATTTAATTATCAAAACAAGACGAATGCAAAAGACCCAACTTAATTGAAGATTATTTATGCAAACCCCAAAAAAAATTTAAATAATTTGGTATTAAAAACGATGCATCCCACAAATACTGTCATCAATAGTAGCAATACTGAAGTCGGTACTGCCCTCTCAATAGATTCTATACTTGCAAGTCCAGAAAATATTAACTCATCAATACAGTTTTTTCGAGACTGATTGCAAGGATCAGACACCAACAAAAAATTATTTGAAGCATGCCTCCCCCTTGCATGTGAATGATTTGAATTAAGTGGATATTTTTCCTAAAACAAATGTTGATGCAACTGTAACAAATTATAACAAAATTAGACGTGTAAATGTACTAGGTCTGACTAACAATTACAATTCCATAAAGCTGTTCATACAAAATAACAAATTTAGCATATTAGGTATCTCTGAACATTGGATAACTAAAAATGGACTTATGAATAATTATTTTCATGAGTATAGCCTGGCAGCAGCTTATTGCAGGAAAGACCATATACGTGGTGGAGTCTGCATACTAATGAAAAACGGTATGCAGGCTACTGAAATAATGTCAATCAAAGCTTAGTCTTTTGAATGTCAATGTGAAATGTGTGGAGTGTCATGTAGAGTGGGTAACTTGAAAATAGCCATTATAGTTACATACAGACCACCTAATGGCGATGCTGAGGTCTTTGACTGTATATATAGAGACCATTTGAACTCGTCAAAATAAGATCTGATGCTATCATTATGTGTGAAAATTTTAACCTGAACTTCCTAGCGAAAGATATTAATGTTAAACTGCTAACGGATCTATTCACATCATTCCAGCCTGTCACAATGTATTTAGGTGTCACTTAGCCCAACCAAATATTGCTGATCACTTGTCCCATATACTGACAATTTATTATAGAGTAGGGCCAAAGAAAGGTATATCAGACAAAATAACTATTAGTGAAAGACAGCTTCACCCCGAAAATATCTTCGAGTTCAGGAATAGATTGGCCGTCATTGCATAACTTATGTATCTCTGATGCTTTTGTGCATTTTCACAAAACTGTCTCATGGTGCTTTGAGGTGGCTTGTTAAAAAAAAGCACCACTGTTTGAAGTGTTGGTACCACTAACCATCCTATAACAGAAGAAGCAATATTCCAGATCTCATATGCGACTCACTTGATATTGATGTTGTAACTGTTGCTAAATTTTTGGGTACAATTTTGGATGAACAACTGATTTACCTATTGATAGTGTATGTTGTGAATTAAACAAAGCATATTTTGCCAGAAAACATATGAAGCAATATATAAGCAGGTCAAGTCTGCGGAGTGTCTACTATGCAATGGCATATTCATAGATTTTTCACAATATAATGTTTTGGAGAAGGGCGAAAAACTTCACCAGGATCTTTGTATTACAAAAACGGCTAGTGAGACTGATATTTGATATGAACTACTTAGAGTTGTAGGCCAGTATTCATTAGAGAAAGGCTTCTGTCAGCTCCCTGCATATACATATGTAAATGTGTAAACTACGCCAGTAAAAACGAGTCACTGCTTGAAAAAACCTCATCATGTCATGAATATCCAAGGCATAATGGAAATTCATTAAAGGTGCCTAGACACAAAACCTCCAAATTTAAAGAATCACCACTATATAATGCAGTCAGCCTTCACAATGCGCTGCCGTCAGCTATTACACAAACTAAAACAGACTAGTTATTCTTTAGGAGCATTAAAAATCTCCTACTAAACAATTGTTACTACAGTTGCGAAGAATTCCTGAATGATTGTAACTGTTAAATGTCTCTATGTATATTGTGGATTTGATAGGTGTATGTCTTGTGATGCACTGTTTGGAACCTTTGATGTGTAATGAATATTACTGGAGTTTTTTCCCCAACACCAAACCGTTATTTTAACTTCTCGACACGTGTTTCGATCACCAAGTGATCATCTTCAAGAGGAAGATCAAACAGTTTGATCCTTAGACAATGGCTCTGTATTGGTGTGTTCACTTGCTCATTGGTAGTACGGAGTATTCGCTGTGAGATGGCGCTGCGTTCAGTTTCGACTATGATTTATTTATTCACTGATAGATATACAAGGTGTTCGAATACGTAATCTAGATGTATGAAAATATGAAGTCACTCTCAAGGTGAACTTCTGAATTAGAATGTTACACGCCAAGATATTGAATTTTGGTAATTTGAGGTGACTACATAATTACATGACAACATTCTAGGTATAAGATACACTCTTCAGTGTTTACTGTATATTACTTATTGAAGAACGCGAAAGCGACAAGTATGTGTAGCGGTTAATAATAACATGATAAAATGTCCTTCAAGTATTATATATGTAAACCTTTTATCCATTATGTATGTTCCAAGTGTAGTAGTGTCTTCCACCGAAGTTGCCTATTGAAAAATTACAAAAATAAGGTAAAATTTTAGCAAGGTAACATAATAATATGCTGTGAAGATCAAGTAGACCCGAAAATCTTAAATGAAATAAGCTTTTTAGAACAAACCATCAATGATTTATCATCAGGTCGCCTGCTGAAGGACAAGCATATGATTAAACTTAATAATGAAAAAGAAACTCTAATGAATGAGGCCTTACAATTAGAATCGAAATATAATGCATCTCTATATGAACATAAAAAGACCATTGGTGATTTTAAAATACTATCAACGAACTAAAACAAAAACACATCCCTAGAAAAACCTCAACATCAGTTGAAACCCAAACCAACTCAGTGGAACGAAAAACAATATCAACAATAACTGATAGTAATGTGTCCAGTGCCATAGATGTAGGCTTAATAAATCTTAATTATAACTTAGAAAAAGATTTAGAAATGGCAAATGAAACGATGAGAAATATGATAGTTTCCATCAACACTTCGAAACAAGAAAGAGATA